ATCAAATCACGTATATGATGTGATCGTCCATCTTTTCACTCATCAGGGTTATGATAAGCAATGATATTTTAGGTGCAAATGAATGACATGGTATCTAATTTTGCTAATTTAATATAAATAATTAAATAGAATACAATTTTTTTAGTAGACACCTTAATAAAAAATATACCTAATCAAGTCAAGAAAGTTGTGCTGCCATTTCCTCTCTACCATTTGATTTTTTTATTAAACTAAATTTATTTTGATTGCTAATCAACTGATTAAAAAAGAAGATAAATCATATTATTCTAAATAATTTTTAGACAAGTTATTTTAGACTCACTTAGCAAAAATGGGATATTTGAAATCTCATTCTAAAATTTTTTTAAGGAAGCTAGCTATGTTAGTCGATAAAAACTTTGACGGTCGATAACTAAATCGATCGTACGTTAGATCAAATTTTTATTACTTATTTTTTAAAAAAATTAGGATGTAAATAATTTTTTAAACCCTAAATTTATTGTGTTAAACCTCTTATCATTAGGAGGAAAAAAAAAAGATGAACTTTAAAATAGAAACACTCAATTAGATTAACAAAGTGGATCATTCATGCAATTAGCCGCCCTCAAACAAAGCAATTAGGGTTGTATACTTGTATGACTTTTCCACCCATCTTTGTCTTCCATGATGACTCCATTTCAAGTGAACTTTCCAAAGCAGATAAAAAGTTACATGATCCATAAAGAAATAGTCAAAAGGCAGCATTATCAATGAGGGAAATATCACCAGAAACCTTCCAATGATGATAAATAAAAAAAGAGTGCATTATTGGGAGGCAATGACCTAAACATGTCACCATCTTCATCACCCTATTTTCTGCACCAATCCAAGAGTCAGGGTTAGGTATCCATTCCTGTCAGTGGTTGCTCTTGGTTGAAGGCATTGTGAGTGGAGATAATGCCAGAGATGGTAGAGACTATCATGTATTTATGAGTTTGGAATGCCAAAACTTGCAATCAAACACTATGGGGATGAGTCTTACTCTTTGAATTGATTAGCATCACTACACACATCAACAACATCTTTTCTGTGATGGAAAAAACATAAACATAAAATTAAATAAAAATTTCTGTTGTTCATGACAAATTAACTCTCATTCTTCCACTTGGAATGAATTTTAGTTCTGGGCATCAGATGTATTCAAAAGGATTGGAAAATAAATAATAAAATTAATTTTTTATACCTTTATTTTCATGTATAAGCATTAAAATTGGATTAATGATATTGGCTAATGGATACTGATCTAGTTCATCTTTTGGGATAAATCTAACTTCCATTTCATCCATTGCAAGCCCTTATGAGATATGATCCTATTAAAAGAGATCAGTTAGCCAATATGTGACATGGGAAAGCTAAATGCAAAGGAGTATTAGCCACACTTCAGAGGGAGTAGTTAGTATTTGACTAGGCTTTAAAGAATTCTTGAATAATGGTAATACATGAATAATTATTGTGGCAGCTATGTTTCAGTAAGTATGACTATTAAGCTCAAGTTTAGATGTTAGAAGGACCACACAACCTTCTTTGCTGGACTTCATCTTTTAGAGTCAAGATAAAGAAATAGACAGCTTTACTTCAGTGGCTATCCACTATAATTTTTTTTTGATAATTTTCTCTCTCAAAATATATGATTGTAAATAAAATTTATTGTTGAAGACTTTAAATCTAAACCTTCTCCAATAAGTACCAAAGATATCAATCAACTTAGTTCATATGACATTTAGCTGTTGATAATAAGAACATCATTGTTTATTTTTTTCAAAAAATTATTTATTTATCATAAGGTTTCAAACATACAGAAAAAGGTAGGGAAGAAATTATAAATGATTGTCTGCCACAGTGGATAAGTTTGAATTGACACAATTTTCATGTTATCTTCAAACTTATCTGATTGCTTCTCATTTGTCCCATGTTAATGATCTTGACACTATTATCTGAGTGGCTTCTGTTTACCCTGCAGTTCCCATACAGCAAAAAGTGAACATGTCTTTCTAGTATCATAAGTAATGCCATGAACATAAAAAAATTATTATAAGTGCTAGTATTCTTGTTGGTTACTCCATAGTTTATGCCAGAATAATTGAATTCATGAAATGACAGTAACACAAGAAATGCAGATCTGAGCTTGTCATGCATTCCTTTACAACAGTTTCCAGGATCAGATATATTCAAGTTATCTATCTGTACCTCAACTTGGAATCTTATACTCTTCAACTTTTTGTTTGCATTAGAGCCTCTAATACTATCTTATATGAAAGAATTATCTGAATCCAGTATCACAAATAGCCAAACAATGATGTTAATCAAAGACAGATATGCTGAATTTGAGTTGAAGCCTCCAGCCATGCTGCTAATCATGGAATGTTAGGTGAAGTAGGTCCATCAGAAGTGAATTCATTTAGCTTCATCAATAAGGTCCAGTGAGATTGTCATAGTTAGGATCCTCTTAATCTTCTACAGAGAACTGGTGGACCAGTTCTCTGTAACAATTAGAGAGAATTGAATTCTTACACAACATTAAAAGCTTTCACAAGCATGAGTGGTTGCTCATGAATTGCCTTGTGGACCCAAGTATGAGTGCTATCTTCAAATTCACTGAGTCTGAGATCTCATGGCACAAGTGATGGAAGGAGGAGAAGACTGAGAAAGACTTCATTAAGATGGAAAATAGTATACATACATTCTCATGTCCTTGTTGAAAAGAGTCAGTCAACATCAGAGGCTCTTAGCACCAAGCATTTGGATCTGTACCACCACCTTGGAATTGTTCAGCCTCTGTTCATCCACCAAAGCCATGACAGACTGACTGCCTATTGTGTGGACCATGGAACATGACAGTCCTCTAAAGTCTAGACCACATGATCCCTGAGAGCACCTTTCCTGGAAGCTCCAACAAGATGTGGCCACATTCTAAATCAGAATGGTGCAGTAGGTATGTAATCCTTTTCTAGTGATTTCTCAGAGTATGTAACAAGTCATTCCTCAGTTCTTTCTGATGTCCAGTTCAAAGGTTTTCATCTTTTTCTGAAGGCAGCTTCTTGTAAGATACACAACCAATTCCTCAGTTTAAATCGTTCTTCTAATCACCACCTCACAGCATTCTGTCAAAGTCTTCTTGGAGGAGGCTATTTCCAAGATTTCAGTACTCAAATCATTTTAATTCACCTGGAAGCTTGCAAATGAACGATCATGCTTCTTTTCTGCTAGCATATCCTGCAAACTACTTATTTTGCCTTTGCAGACATTCAAAAGAAAATGGATCATGAAGACAGCAACCCCTTCTACACTGTGCTGGTTCAGTCCACTGGAAGATCTCAATGCAACAAGACTGGTAAATAAGGTCAACTCATGAAAACAGCTCATCTGTGATTCTGCCCTGTGCACTGTGCCATCCCTTTCCTTTTACCTCAAAACAGACTGCTTGAGCAAAGCATAGTAAGGATCAGAACTATGCCATAAAACTCAGTTGGTACTGCCTTGTGCAGTTGGGCTTCCAGCACACTCCTCTACATGATCATAAGCTACTGCTTAGTTTGATTCTGGATATAGTCAGATCAGGCCCATAACTCAGTGAGGTCTTATAGTTCATAGGATCATAGGCTTTACATAGTTTAGTCCCAGCTTATGATGTAAAACGAGTACATAAATTTTCATCATAATCATTATGATTCATACTCATTATAATTTCACGGATATGAGACTATTTCTTCATCTCCTTCCGTTTCCAACAAAATCAAAGCCATAAATAACTCTTATTACTATTAAATTATCCCTATCATAACTTTAATTTCCTCCTCTCATGATTCACACTCTATCCATCTTTTATCTTTAAGAATAAATAGAGAAAAAAAAAGGAAAAAGAAAGAGAGATTGGATGCATCAATCAATGCGATCACGCTCTCCAAAGTACGCTTTTGAGGTTGTCACGTTGGATCACGGAAAGGAGAAAGGGATCAATTCTGATCAAACCGATCTCAGCCGTTGGGCAGCGACATCGACGGACGCCAGCGAGGCCCTCCCCCAAGAAAGCCGTCCTTTCGGCGCTTAAAGATCGGCTCAATCGAGGTTGACGTCTGCAGCGTTGACCGGGTCTGCGTGGTCAATTTTCATCTTCCCATATTGCCCTCGGTGGATATCACTTGTGTTGGGAGGAGAGGAGAGAATAAAGCAAAACTATAGGGATAAATTCGTCATTAGGTGACCTTACCTTTATTACAAGGTGTGTGTTCTTGTTCCCTACTTGGTGTTCTTAGTCTATCTTCGTCTCAAACCCACTCGTCTCCTCAGTCACAATGGCAGCTTCTCCTCTCTGCATGCAATTATCTTGCCATCTCTAATGCCTCTTAAGGTACTAACAGCGAAAAATTGCTTGCTTATGAATATATATATATATATATGTATATTTGTTGCAATTTGATCTCTTTGCTCTGGAATGTAGTTTGCAATGAATTGTAAGTTTTTGGAATTTATGCAAGATTAATTTAAGTTAACTGTAGGTTGATCAAGATATCTTCGAAAGTAATTAACCATGGTTATTCTTATGCCCAAATCTATCAATGGTAAAGGAAGTATTGTTCTCCTTATTTCCATTTCAATGCCAGCTCTCATGATGGAATAGGTGGTAAAGGTTTCTGGATTCTTTTTTCTGTATAAGATGTTGTACACTTCAGGTTGTTGATGCATCAAAGTAGACTCAAGTTACAATCCTTCAAGACCTGAATTAATTTTTGATATGTGAAGCTTAAATTGCAGGAAGTATTGCAGATTTGTTGCTGTAACCCAGCAATACAGGAACTGAAGCACATAATGTTGTTTTAGGAGCTCTAACAATCCGATCTAATGTTATTCACCAGCTTTTTTTTGTTCCAGACATTATATTTAGATGCCTAAATCCGAATAACTTACCAGGAACTGGAATGTTTGTAAGAGGAATTCACATGTTGCATCACAATCTGCTATGACAGAAGATCTGAAGATGGTTTCTGAGAGATGAAATCTTGCTGTGTCTCGGAATCTTTACAAGATTCATGTTAGTACAATCCATGATCCTGTCTTCAGATCCCTGCTGTAATGTGAGTCACTAGATGTCTACTTATTCCTGGATCCAGAAGAGTAGTCTGTAGTGAATCTTCTGTCATCAGCAGTAGAAACCAAACCTTGTTGTTGATTAGAATCTTCCCCTCTGTATCATCTTCTTATGGTAGGTCGTATGATCTTGTAATTTGTTCTAGAAATACCTTATGATCTCTATGTTGCTCTTTCTGTCTCCGGTCAGAGCTATGAATGCTTAAGGCCACTGAAATCCATCATCACTTGGCGTTCGGAGTCCGACCATCACTGGTTTGGGACTTGCAGCCATGGGTGAGGAAGCTGGGAAGGTGACTAGTATCTGGCAGATTGTGAGACTGCGAGAGATCCTTCAAAAATGGCAGTCCATCGCCCTCGGGCCAAAAGAGGACCGGCACAGGGCGTCCGGGATCCCCCCGACCGTCAGCAGCCGCCGAAAGGACGTGTGCGTCCAGTGTGACTCCGACGAGGAGTGCTGCCAGAGCCCGGAGGCGCCGCCGGATGTCCCCAAGGGGTGCTGCCCAGTGTACGTAGGACCAGAGCAGAGGAGGTTTGTGATTCCGACGAGTTACTTCAGCCTGCCGGTGTTCAAGCTGCTACTGGAGAAGGCTGAGAAGGAGTTCGGCTTCGATCACAAGGGCGGACTCACCATCCCTTGCGAGATCGAGACGTTCAAGTACATCCTCCAGTGCATGGACCGGCACGGCAAGGGCCTCATCGATGACGGTAAGTAAGCTCAGGCTTTGTCTTCCTTCGAGTGCTATGCATGAATGAATCACTGTGAACGTTGAGGTTTGTTCGAACTGCTCTCTGTCATTGCAGAAGGAAATCCAACAGGGCTTGAGGAGTGAGAGCGCTTGGGATTGTTCTTTGTCAGCTACAGCATTCATAGGGATTGATAGAACTTCCACTTGGTGGTATGTGCTAAGCTTAAGGAGAGCTCTGAAACATGTTTCCCCCTTCCTTGGATTTCAGGCGAGTTGCTGGGATTAAGCTGTGTAATCCCCAAACATAGTTTTCGGAAAATGGTACTGTGAATCATGTAATGATTGATTGGAAATGCAAATGCTTGAAAAGTTGCTTTTGTGATGACTACTACTACTACGCTTTTGGAATCCTTTTATTCTCCAAATCGCATGGTCTTGCAACACAACATGCACAGTGGGCAAACAATGATAGAACAGGAAGAAGCGACCAAACATGGCGCAAAGAGGAGAAGGAGATGACAAGCTGAGCTCCTAGACTGCAGGGGGAGGAAGAAGCCATGATTGCGCTTGGATGAAGTCCATGGTGAGGAATGGCCTTGCCTGCTTATCATTGAGTAATCTCGCATACTTCACACGCCCATCGGTAACAGCCCCTGGTCCCAAGCACTTGTACTCGCCAAAGTACACCGTCCTGGTGGTTCAAGATTAAGTGCCGGCTCACAGCTCAGGGAAGAAAGGCTTGCCAAGACTGGGTGGGATTCATGTGCAGGGAGATCAAGGGAAGAGATGGGTGGCGATACCTGTTGCGGCCGGCGACGCCCTTGTTGTCCCAGCCTCTGGGGTCGATGAGGCGGCCCATGTGGGTGTAGGAGAAGACCACCCTCGACATCTCTCGCCATGCCCGGCTCAGGAATGCGTTCCCTGTGCCTGTGATGTTGCAGTGGATGAACGAGAAGCCACTCTTATCTGAGATATTAGATCTCGCTTGTGCTGTAATGTAGGCGACATTATCTGCCACTGATTCGATTTCACAGTTCTGTAAGATTTGTTGATTAGATGGAAGTTTCTATCACCGAAAATGTTTCTTTATATATATATATATATATATATATATATATAAAAGCAACCATCTCATTGTTTATTTTATTTTTGATTTGATTTTGTTTTATTGCACTTATCTTTTTTTGCTTATTGGCATTAATGACCAAAGCTAAAAGTGTTTAATAAATTGGTAAAAGAGAAGCACATTACTACTACCCATTGTAGTGGATGGACTATTGGAATGTTTGTATACAAGAGAAATCTAAATACACTCAATTAAACCCATGTTTGCTGTTAGTTTGATTAATTTAGCCATAAATGTGCCTTAAAAATCCATAAGTGCATTAATTTTACTCAGTGTTTGGAACCTACTAAAGTAAAGTATGTCTGAGTAACCTAAGAGCATTGATTTGGCATTCTTCTAATTTTGTTAATGACACATTAATTAGGCTTCAACTTTAAATTAGATGAAATACTATAATTATTTTTTAAAAAATTAATTAATCAATCTTAATGAAAAAAATTGTTATATTAAATTATAGTTACTCTCATTTGTGGATTCAAACATGAGACCTATCACTTGCAATCCAATGTCACAACATCACACTATATTATTATCCTTTACTCTAAAAAATAATTGATATATATATATATATTTTGTGTCATTCATTCTTCTCCATGCAACACAGAAAAAACATCTTTAACTAGAAAGAATACTATAATTAATCAAAAAATCAAATAATTGATCTCAGCAAACTAAATTATTAATCTACTTTACAAAAGGGATTAAATTTACACATATAGATTACATATATGCTTCTTTTTTTCTTGTGCATGTAATATGGATTCTTGTTCAGCCATTAAGTGTGCAACAGAGAGGAAGAAGAAGAGAGTATAGAACCTGGTAGATGGATCTGCCATTGCCAAAGATGAAGTCGACTGTTCCCCTAATGAAGCAGTTCTTGAAGAAATGCCTGCCGGTGTCATCGCAAAGCGTGTCTTGGTATCCGTAGAACTTGCAGTTGTAGAAGGCTGCCATGTCCCCCGATATCCTCATCGCCACCGCTTGAGCTCCCTGCACTCCATCGACTGGCATCGGTGCCGTGTTCTTCAACGCCGCGAGACGCATCAGAGCAGGTCAGTTAGTTCTATGCCTGTGAAAACCCTACTGCGACTGCTTCGGTCTCTCGAGACCGCCTACCTCGAAGATCACGTTGCTTGCGACGAAGTAGCTGGACTCCACGGCGACGGTGGCGCTGTTCGCCGTCCCGTACCTCGCAGCCGTGCCGTCGAACGATATCGTCGGCATCGCACCGGGTTGGCCGTAGAACGTGACGTACGGCCTGGACTGGTCGACGAGGATCTTCTCCCGGTAGACCCCCGGGCCGATCTTGATGACGGTGCGGGCGGTGTTGCCGGATGGGATGCTTTTGATGGCGTCCGTGATCGTTCGGAAGTCTCCGTTGCCGTCCTTCCTCACCGTCACGACCCTCCCGCTTCGCTCCGTCTCTGCGAGGAGTGGTTCTAGGGTCGGTGCACTTGGTGGTTCGAGGTTGCCCAAGTCAGCGGCGGCCGCGAGGGCGGGGAGGATACGGAGGCAGAAGAGGGCTGCAAGGAGGGCGGCCGGAGAGTGAGCTTGTCCCAATTGTCGTCTCATCTTCGATGGAGGAGGAGGAGGAGGAGGAGCATGAGAAGGAAGGAAAGAGAGGTGAAGGAAACGAATAAACCGGTCCAGCTTCTTATGTGATCCTTCTCGCCTGCTACGGTTACCAAACATGGCCATATTGCCGGTATAACGTAACTGAGGCATCTTGAAAGGCCACCATCCAACACAAATTGTTAGCATGATATTATTAGGGTTAGTAAGTATTTTGAATTCCTAATGCTAATAAGATTGATTAGAAAATAAATTTTTTTGGAGGAAAAGAAATTAAATATGGAAAGAAATCTTTAGAAAATATATCTTAAAGGGGGAAAGGGGAGAGAAGACGTAGGAGGAACACTTTGCATATAAAGTTTCCGGTAAATATAGAAAGGCTGAGGAAAAATTATTGAACTCTGTGATTCACAAAGCTTAATGAATCCATATTGAGCCTATGAGAGTTGATATGTCAAAGTAAAGGAATAAGAGAAAGAAATCAGAATTTTATCTATCTAAATTATCTTTTAAAAAATTTAGAATTTCCCAAAGGTATTTATTGATGATCAAAGTATATTTTTCGATTTAAGTTTATTTTATAAAAATTATACGTCAAAAGTTGCACACTATTATGTCTTATTTTGTACATCAATTTAATCGTTTACACTTACATGCAAAAAAAAAAAAATGTTTAATATATTTTACTCTATAATTTACAATAGTGTATATTTGTTTTTCATGCTAATCTAAAACTTACAATATATATCATAGGGTTAAGGTCCATTTTAATCTATGTGATTTTGTCCATGAATCACTTAAGCTCTTATGATTTACTTATATTTAGAATAACTCTTACATATAAGTCAATCCCGTCAAATTTGAGTTAATAAACATTAGAGTATGCTTACATGACATGTTGACTCATAATAGATCATTAATATAATGACATATGTAATTTAAGTTTAAAAAAAAATTAAGGTCCATTTTAGCTCTAGTGGTTTTGACTATGGACCACTTAAGCCTTTATAATTTACTCGTACCTAAGATAACCCATATATTTTCAAAAACGTAGTATATAAGCCTCTCTCGTCGAGTCTAAGTTAACAGAGTTAGAATATGATTATATGACATAATAACTCATAATAAATTATTAATATAATGATACATATAATTTAAATTAAAAAAAGGTTAAGATCCATCTTATCGAGGAAAAGGAAGCGACAGAGACCATAATGGTGGACGAAGGCGAAGAGGCGAAGGTAAGAGAGAGATGGACCATCATGGGGTGCAAGAGAGGACGAAGTGGGAGGCAGTGGAGATAAAGACACCTAAGAGGAGGAAGAGGGACCAAGAGACCACTATGTACTTAGCTCGAACTGGTCAACACACACATATCCATCTGAGATGGGACCAGAAGCTCCTAAGCTCGTCGTCAACATGGAAGAAACTGTATGTGTACAATGCCTTACTAAGCAATAATAGCTCGGTGTTGCTATTGGTGGTTGCTTTCATAGTGATGCCTCCTCCTACAATTTATGATAATCTTAATTTTTTAATTTAAGTTATATGTGTCATTATATTAATATTTTATTATGAGTCAACATGTCACATAAGCAGACTCTAATATTTGTTAATTCAACTTGACAAAAGGAACTTATGTGCTATATTTTTAAAAATATAAAGATTATTATAGATATAAATAAACTATAAGGGCTTAAGTAGTCTATAATCAAAACAATAGAATCTAAAATGGATCTTAACTTTTTTTAAATTTAATTTATATGTGTCATTATATTAATAATTTATTATGAGTCAGTATACCACATAAACAGATTTTAATATATGTTAACTCTGACTCGACGGGAGGAACTTACATGCTACATTTTTTTTAAAATATAAGAGTTATTTTATACATAAGTAAACCATAAGAGTTTAAATGATCTATAACCAAAATAAAAAAAAATTAAAATAAACCTTAACCTTATATCATAATAATAAAACGTAGACCGAATAACTTATAATAATCATAAACTTATAATAACTTACATGTGAAACATTCCGTGAAACGAATACAATAATTTAGCAATCAAACCCTTCCAAATTGAACTTATGAGGAAGAACAGTGATAAGTATGAACCAAAGCTACAACATCAAATTAATACGATGTCATGTCACCATGGTGATTATTTTGATAAAGGCATCTATTGATCTCCATCCTAAAGGGTCAAAATCATGATCCAACCCAGAGACAATTCCTCATGGGCCAGCATACTTGTGCGAATGAAAATAAATAATAACTTATTATGTCTTGACTAAGCTTCTTCATTGGAGATTATTGATAAATATATTTAATTTCATATCAATTGAGGAATATAAAAAAAATTTCTAAGAGTAAAACCATGTGGGGCTCACCTAAGAATGGATAATTCCTCGAAGATAAATAGTGATTTATCACCCTATAAACTAACTCAATCAGCTTCCTCCATCCAATAAGAGACTAAATTGGGGTCCTAGTAGGTCACCTTTTCTCTTTGCTTTCTTTTGTTTCTGGGGTCCTTTACCACATCAGTGCATTGCATACATAAGAAGTTTCAAGATATTTAAACCAGGGCAGTAGTAATAAAAAAAGAATATATTTCTTGTTTCTTCTCAAAACTGCAACAATCTGCTATCTAGAAATTTAACGTTCAAAGTAGGCCAACTTTATCTTTCAAACAAGATCATCAACTTGATCTAGTCTAAATAGATGTCCTAATAAAATAATTTTCTCTTCATGGAAAAAAGTAAACAAGACACTGATCTCCATATTCTTGTTTGAAACATGATTGTGATCATAATTGTGATGTCCTAATAAAATAATTAAGTTTCTCTTCATTGACAACATTGTTTGAAACATGAGCAACCGTAGTCATTATAATTGTGATCATAACAGGCAAATAGAATAAATAATGAGCAAATAAACTTTCGATAAACCATATTTTACATATTAACATTTCTTACAGAATAGGATGATGGTGACTATTGAGTTTTTCATGATCAATCATTAAATAGAAAAAAAAAATGCATTTTGAATAGGAATGACTGAGATGTATACCTGATTTTAGTTGAGACTCTTTCCTTTTGAAACAGCGATTTAGCAAATGCTGACTGCTTAGCATCCAAAGAAAAAAATTTGCATCCATCCATGTTCCATGTTTCTCCAACAGCTGGGACACAGTTTGCCCGAGCACAAATAGAAGAGAGATTGCATCCTTTCTCAATTCAATCAGACTGTAATTGTGCTAAGCATCAGCAGCTAAGTCCACGTGATTGTTACTCCGAGTGGTTCTTTAGGCCATAAATTCTTTTGCAAAGTATGACCTCGACTCATCCTCATTTGATATGAATTTCAACTAGTTGAGACCATGATATCAACTTATTATGTAATCCAGCTCACACCAACCTTCTTCAGGTTCACTACATCAGCTTCCATTACATCTCTAATTTTCCTTCTATCATGCCACTTCTCTTCAACAGCATATAAATTAGACACCAATACAAATGCTGAGCTATCCATCTGGCCCAATAACACCATCTTTGCGATTGAGGCCAAACCTAATCTAACATGTCCGTACATAATACAAAAGCTAACCAAGGTTCTTAGCACTGTTGAACCAGGATTAATTCCCATTCCCTCGATAAAACTGACTGCATCCTTAAGTAAACCAGCACGTCCAAAAGCGCCAACAACACAAGCATGGTGCTCCATTTGTGGTCTGATTCCATAGTCATCACTCATGCTCCTAAAGAAATGGACTACTTTGTCAATAAGGCCACCATGGCTGCAACCGGAGAGAACAGAAAGGAATGTAATATCATCGGGCTTTAGCCCACGATCAACCATTTCCTCATAAGCCTTGAGCAGCTCCAGGACATTACCATGTTGTGCATGCCCAGCAAGCAAAGCATTCCAGAGAACAAGGTCATGTTTAGATGCTCCATTGAAGTAGCTTACTGCACTTCCTATGCTTCCACACTTGCAATACATGTCGATAAGAGCACTTCCAATGAATGTATCTTCTTCCAGGCCAGACTTTATGATAGCAGCATGAATTAACTTTCCGATCACAGGATATGTTAGTTTAGCCGCAGCCTTAAGTGCACTTACAAAAGTGAAGTGATTCGGATTAATTTCATCTTGGAGCATTTGATTCATGCACAAAAGAGCTTTCTCATTGCATCCGAGATTTGCATATGCTGAAATCAATGCAGTCCAAGAAACAACATCATGTACCATCATCATTTCAAACAGCTGAATTGCTTCATTCAAGCTCCCGCATTCAGAATAAAGAGACAGTAGTGCTGTCTGGACTGTGACATCCATCTCTGAGCCTGATTTAATCAAAAAGGCATGAATTTGTTCACCTTGATCTACAGCCTGCAAATCGGTGCAACCCATAAGAGCACCAATGCATGCAACTGAATCAGCAATAATATCTTCTTTGTTCATCTGGTAGAATGTGTCCAGTGCTTCCATGGAGGATCCACACTTGGCATAGCCTGAAATCAATATAGTCCATGATAATAAATTGTGGTCTTCACCGATATGCTGGAAAATCTTCAGAGCATCCGGCATACACAGACACTTGGTGTACATATCCATCAGGGCATGATTGATGCAGTTATTTAGCCCAAAACCATATTTGAGGACAACAGCATGAAACTGAATACCAAGTTTCTGAGACTCAGAAGCAGCTGCAATACTAAGAACACAAGCTAACAAAACATCATCCAACATCATGCCGTCGTGATAAAAATGACAGAAGACATCTAAAGCATCTCGAAATTGTTCTTGGCTTGCATACGCACATATCAAGCTGGTCCAAGAGATCACGTTCTGGCTGTTCGAATATCTCAACAAATCATGTGCGTCATCCATGCAACAACAATTAGCATACACTCTGATAAGGGAACTCTGCACAGCACCATCCCCCTCAAACCCAAATTTAACTACCAGGCCATGAACTTGAATAGCCTCCCTCCAGAATTCAAACCCATCGATCCCACTCAACACATTAACAAAAGTAGCTCGAACAGGTAGCAGGTGTGATGCCAAAACATGATTGCAAAACACCTTAAAGGCTTCTTCAAGATTCCCAGCTTTAGCAAGTAGACCAATCACGGCATTAACCAATACAATGTCCTTGCGCTCCAAGCTCTCAAAAACCTTCATCACGTCACTGAGGAGTCCATAGACAGCATAGAACTCAGCAAGGCCACTTGCAACGAAAGCACTGTCGCCAAGACCATATTTGACCACAACGCAGTGAGCCGAAAACCCCATGCCAAGATCGCAGCTTTTAAGAACTCCGACGAAACTAAACTCATCGGGAGAGACACCGCATCGCAGCATCTCCCTAAAGCAAGCCAAGGCGTCGAAGCGGAGGCCGGAGAGGAAGCAGCCGTCGACAACGGTGTTCCACGACACGACGTCTGGATTGGGCATTTCGTCGAACACGCGGAGGGCGTCCGGCAGGGCGCGGCACTTACAGTACATGTTAGCCAAGCTATTGGAAAGAAAAACGGAAGGGTGGGGGATGGTCCGGAGGATGCGGCCGTGGATGGCTCTGCCATCGGGAAGCGCTCCAGATTGCGCGGCGGCTCGCAGGAGCCCGGCGTACCGCTTCTCGACCTCAAAGCGGTTGGTGGAATGCGGAAGGGAGCCATGGAACCTCGAAGCTGTAAAGAGAGCAGCAACGGAGGGTCTAAAGCTGCAGCCCAACCATCGACTTGTGAGGCAATCTACTGCCTTGACTTGTGCAGGAGAATGAAGTGTTACTGGCTTGCATATAAGCTTATAGTTCATGAATAACAACAATTGCACTGCTAACTCTTATATATATATATATATATATATATATATATATATATATATATATATATATATATATATATATATATATATATATATATATATATATATATATATATATATATAT